CAGGAGAATCAGAGGACGTTTTCCATCTCCTCCGTGTACCTCGGAGGGTGTAGCATGTTACAACGCTCTCCCACACACACACACACTAGAATTCACTAGAATGACTGCGCATTCCTGTATTACCTGGAGCCTCCCAGCCTCCTTCTCGCCGCTTTAACTGGACAGAGGTCTGGATTTTCTGGCTTGGTTTTGGATTTTTAAAGTAGAGCAAAAACAAGGTGAAGAATGCTTCTCCCAGATCACAGCTCTGAGAAAAGCTGTTCTTCTACAGTTTGATATAAAAGTAAGCTGTTCAGCGTGGAATGCAATAGCCAGCTATGTTGGTAACCTTTCTTTAAGGTATTATTACTAAAATAAAACATGGAAGGAGACATTTTTGAAGGTGGGTTGGATTCAACTTCTTTGAATACTTGCTTCAAGGTTGTCTCTGGTTGATGACATTCATCTCTAGAATCAAATCTAATGAACAAATAAAATAGCTGCCTTGTATAAAAGGCTTGATAAGCCATTTATCAAAATATGATAGATACACATTTTATTCTCAGATACACCCACATAAATACAGAAAAAAAAATCCAGTTTCAGTAAGACTATTCATATTATCCAATCTGGACACATGAATATGACAAGTTAAGAAAATTAAATCAGGTAAGTACAAAAGCTGTGGCTGGTTCATTTTACCACCTTCCAGGAGAACTTACTCTAGCCTGACAATGAAACAGATAAAACCAAGATATATTCTACAATAGACTGTGTAAAGAGCAAGATCTTCAGCCAGAAGATTGTGGAAATCAGCCTAAAATGACACTGTTCAATGTTAGAAGACAGAACTTTAACTAGCAAAAAAAAAAAAAGAGAAGAAAAACCTCCTCTGAACCTCTCCTGTGAATCTAGGGGAGACATCCCAAATACCACCAGATGGGAATTTGGCATTTTCATAAAAAAAGCTTTAATTTGCAGGCTACCATTGCTAAATCTGGTACTATTAGTTAAGATACACATCTTCTTAAAGACTGTAACAAAAGAAAAAACCAAAATAGAATTTTAACAAAGGGCATCACTCCAGGTAAGTGTCAAAGCATAAAGGAGATTCTGTTCTACCGGCTCTGTAAAAAAAGGTGAAAAAATGTTGAATGTAGCAAAAATGTAGTCTTTGGCACACTGCTGCAGAAATAGATGAACTACCAGTGGTACAAGTCCATAGAGTGGTATAATTGCTTCCTTTTTAACTTTCCTCTCTTCTGATTATGTATGTATATTTTAAAGGTCCTCCATCCTTCAAAAGGGCATGGGAGGAGGGGGACCGGCTCTATAGTTGCTGGTAAGAAATCCTAATCTCAGCATTGGTGTAAGCTGGAGGTGTCTATACATTTGAGCACTTCCTGTTTTCACTTCGTGATCAAATATGTTCTTTGCAGGGCAAATAGGGGAGCACTTGAGGGAGGAAAGCAGTGATGTCTGAGAGGCTAATTGAGTGTACTAAGAACTCCTTAGCAAAGAGGAAAAGGAGTCTTCCAAAGCTGTGAATAAACTCTCAGCTTGGGTCAGATTTCTTGCTGTTTCTTTTCTTTAACCACCTTTGAACTCAACTAAAAACAGTCTTAATGTCAGGTTTACCTTTCTGATGTCGTAATCTTTATGTACTATTGAAAAGATTATACTACCAGACTAGGATTTCCTCTACTTTCTTAAACACTGGATATTATCCAGAAAAAGCATACACATTTCCAACCAATTCATCCTCAGATCTTTTATCTTCCGGTGCTGTTGTAATTCCAAATGTAAGACAGAGCTCAGTAAGTGAAAGAGAACATGACAGAAGCTCCTACTCCTTGCATTTGACTTCCAACAATAAAAACATGCATGTGTATCCTGTTTCAAATATAATTAAAGTTACTACAAAATGGAAGCTGTGATAGGGGTTAGAAATCGTTTTGCAAGACACAGCCTGTCAGACACATTCATTCTACATCAGAGTTCAAGTGCCTGTCTCTTCAAAAAAGCCACTTAGGCCATTCAATTTTTAAAATTGGCTGCCTTAGGAGTTTGCAAACTGATTGAATAAGGGAAAAAATAGCATTTTATTTAAAATCATAAGTAAATACAATTAGTCAGATCTGAGTAACTCTCTTGGAATTTGACAGTGTAAAGGACTTCTACATTTAATCCATGCCATAAGAGATGGACTGCCACTGCCTCTCCTTCCAGGGAAATCAGAGGTTAATGATTTTTGTCATATTGAGACTAACAATTGCTACAGTTGGCCTTTAGTATTTTATTTGTCCTTTTGAGGTATTCAGAATAGGTGACAATGGCTTGCAGTTGAGAACATATGTAGAGAGACCCCTGTGGCTTATGGAAAAGTTGCTCCATGCTGGTTGGGTGTTTGAAAAAAAAAATACAACCAGAGCTCTTTTATGTCCCTCTCCTTAATGAATGCATGAATGTCAAAATGTACCAATGGCCCATTCAGGGGGCAAAGCCTAAGCAGCTCCTTCTTTAAGAACACATCCTGAGATGTAAAATACATTTGCTTAACAAATTAAAATAATGAGATAATTCAATTAGTTTCTTTAAAAAAAAAAAAAAAAAAGAGAGAGAGAGAGAGAGAAATAAAAAAGGGTACATCAGGGGATTATTGTAATACAAGAACAGGTCATACAGCACAAAAGAGGAACAAACCAATTTGAAATAAGGTTAGAGTAGTAATGAAGGAATGTACATTGAATCATGGACTGCCATTGTAAAGATATTTACTTGCAACAATAAAATTGTATATCACAGATTCCCCCGTTCTGGCTCAGCCAGAGTTACATTTTGAATGGACAAGCTAATTTGAGAAAAAGTGTGAGATCTTTAAAAGAAAGGAGTTTTCTTCCTTCCCTGCATGTGTTTATGGCAAGAATCTTTCTGAATTTACATTGCACTGGTCAGGGGTCTCCATTATCAGTTTGCAGGTCTGAGAATTACAGCGCCGTAAATCTTTCAACACCTGCAAACTCATTAAAGCCTGGATGGTAAAAGGTTTGGGGCTTTTTTTGCATTCATTTAATCTGATTTTTGTGAGGCCATCCTCACCAGTGATGGCAAATTTCCTTAATTCATGCAGGATGGAGAGGGTCAGGAGAGAGAGGACGCAAACAAGGGAAAGGGATTTCAAAAAGCCAGAAAGACTTTCCTCAAGAGAAGCAAGAGGCAGTTGACTGTTTAATAAGCGAGTGTCAAATGCTTTCAAGGAGCACGTAAGAAAGAAAGGCAGGGAGGAAAAAAACTAGATATCACAAATTGCATAAGAGGAAATGGAGTTAACATGGAGATGTCTACAAACCAAACTTGTTTATTTGTGGCCCTGCTTTTTGCTGTCTGCCTGTACTACTCATCTAAAGATACCCTACAGCTAAACGAAAAAACCTCCACTTGCACTCAGTCGACTTCCAAATTAAAAACATTTTACAGGTTAGTAAATCTCCAGCTGAGGTGATGTAGCAAAGAACAGCTGTGAAGTAATTTTGATAATGATGAGAATAATAAGCACATGGCAAGGTTCAGGGCTTTGCTGTTGCAGCTTCAGTGCTCCTGAATAGATAAAAGTGATTAAATACTCCTGATTATCCCTGACCAATATGTAATGGATTTACAGCCCTTTCAATTAGTCAGTATTTGCTTAGGACTCATTATTTTGTCTTTGGTTAAGTAATCAGCCCAGAGACTCATGTTCTGTCTAATTCCTCTGAGCCAAGTGGGTACAGGGCACCTGACCTTTGAAATGGCCATAGCTGAGAGGCAGGAATAACCACTACTCCAGCAGAGACACTGGCTATTCCAGCTAATCCTGACCCCACAGGCCAGATCAATGCACCTTAGTTTGCTACTAATGTCCTTACATCAAAATGATGGTTTAGAAATGTGAATCTATCGCTCCCCCCTTTAGCTGTGCTGCTGGCAGAGCAGCTCGATAGTCTCTATCATAAATAAATCGGGTCCCGGAATCATTACACTGTAACCAACAGCAGGAAATTTATAAAACCATGGAAATTTATAAAACTTTGGTAGAAGAACCGGTAGTTAATAACAGTTAGCATTTCAAGCCTTATCAAGTGAGAAAGAATTTCAAAGTGCGAGAAAGAAGAAAAATCAATTGATAATTTTACCAGTTTCCATCATTTCCCACATCAAGAAAATTAGGTTTACTAGGTTTTCTGTGGAACCGTGTTTTGATGCCTAAGTGAAGCTAAAATAGTCAACAGAACACCAAGACAAAACCAATAGCAAGCAGACAAATAAAAGCCCAAGGAAAGCACTGCTATTTCACATATCTAATCTCTCTCTCCCCAAATGTGAATATGGCTAGGTGTTAATGTAAATGGACTTGAAGAGCAGCAGAAAAGGTGCTTATTCTCTCTGTTAACACAACTGAAAAATTAGGGAATCTGTAAGCCTTCTTTATTTCCTCTCAAAAAATGTAACAATGCCAAGGTTGCAAGCTGCTGCTTTGACTTCTCTAACATCCACAGTGTATGTCAGCACACGTACTCAGACCAGGACTCTCTCTTTCACCACATACATGTGAAGTTTGTGTAAACAGAGGCCAGCAATAAAGAAACCAGAAGGCAGAGCTTTATACGTGCTAAAGCAAGAATCTCCCTTTTTCTGTCTGCAGGAAGATTTTGAATAGTCCAAAGCCAAAAATGGTTACTTCATATATAGGTGGTGTTCCATGATAGGTGTTGTACTCTCTTTCTTTTTCTCTCTATAGGATATGTACATAAATATTTATATATTCACATATATAGATAGATTTCTTTGAGATTTGTCATGATTCCAAGACCCAAGGAAAAAAAAATATTTAAAAAAAAAAAAGCAAAAAAAAGCAACAACAAAGCCTGAGACCTAATAATGGTCAAAAAATTATGGGGACAATTGATTTCTAATAATGATGAATAAACCTCATTAGGCACACAAATAGAAATTTATTTATTTTGGTTTTGGGCACCACTTACTGTGAGATGCTGGAAAAGCCACGCTCTCATGATATTTGTTGCTACTTTGGGGAAAATGCCTCTTTTCTTCTGACGCTTTTTGTCCTTGTCTGGGTCATCGTCATCTCCTGTACCAGGTGAGGCTACGCTGTTGTCTAAACCATCACCTACAACAAAGAGAAAAGCAGGAAGGAGGAGATGTTTAATGAACCAAATACAGAAGCCAAAAAATATTATTAATTGCCAAGACACTACCACAGTTTGGGTGTTTTTTATATGTTAGATCAGGCACATACCGTTTCTCATTATATAAGAACGCTGATACAAATATGTAAAAATTAGAAAACCGTGTCTCTCCAAATACTAATTTTGTGTTTCACACATGCATATATCATTAATTCAATTATAATTGTGTGCTTGACATAGTGCAGTAGCTCTTTTTCAATTATGGGATTCAATGTGGGAAAACCTGCCACAAGAAAACCCATTTACTGTAAATGCATCCCTACAACCATTCTGAATATGTACGTATAAGTAATCAAGTTAAATGTTCTGTAGTCTATATATTCGAGGCCCTCTGCAGGGGTGGCAGTAACCATGTCACCGTTCAGTGCACATAACACACTGTCAGATGAGCCCCTCCCTGTTGCCATCACCTCCCAGCACACATACACACACACACTCACAAACACGTACACCTAGTGTGACCCTGCACACAGCATTTGCATGACATGAAAACTTCTACATCTCTGCATCAGTGATTATCATTAAAAAAAAAAGATGCACATCAAGGTAGAGCTCTCACTTAATCAGAACTTTCCATCAACATCCTTCTCTTCTGTGCTTTTCCCTGGCATTAATTGTGCATTAGCAAAAATCATTTACTTTTAACAGTCATAGTTATTTTTTCTTGCCCTCCAGCAAAAATGCCTTGAAAGCCTGCCTGGAGGGCATCTAAATTATGTATCTGAAAAACTCTTCTGGCAAGGCATTGCAGGACCCCTACTTTCTTAAAATTCATACGAGCACGTCTTCCTGTTTTTGGGAAGGCATCAATCAAGAGCAGCAATATATGCCATATTCCTACATTAATATTTGAACTAATAACTTTAAAAAAAGGAAAGAAACAAGATCCGACTTGTGGCATAATCAAATGCAAAATAAATGAAGAATACTGGGACAGCACTGAGACTTTATAGATTGCTGTGTTTTCCTTACACATCATTAGCCCGGAGCCACACGAAAGAGGAAAACAGAGAAGTGGAGAGTTTATGCTCCCTGCTGGTGTTTAAGAAGCCGAGGTCCTGGAAGGACATCTGGGAATTGTGCTGAGACGGTGGTTTTTGTAATTTAAGAATAGACATTCATTAGCAGTAAATGCCATAAATCCCATGCTAAGTAAAAACCTTGTCCAAGAAAGCCTAAAACAATAAACTCTGTGCTCAATGTAGCCTGAGCTAGACGCTCCATAGCTTCCTGAGGAATGCTATAGATTCACGAGCTAATTCCTATAGCCTCGTCTAGATCTGTAGTGCTGCTAAACGAAATACATTGCTGCTACATACAGTCCATTTGCTTCAAAACTTGCATTTCAGCTCCATCTTCACTCCCATGCCAGATCACCCTTCTTGTACTGCGTCCCCTCTGAAAAACCGACCCTTTTGGACTGGAGAGACAGAAAAAGCCACAGCAAAGAGCTGGCAGATTAATTTTATTGACATTTCCATTTTCACTGCAATGTGATACCCTCCATCACATGGAAGAGATGACCCTCACTATTTACAGACTGACAGGCCACTTCATTACAACCACCCTGCCCCAAGGCAGAGCAGCTCCTTTCCATCTGCCCAAACACCAGAGCAAGACCCTGAAGTCGCTGCTCTCTTTCTCGTGCTTTTTTTTTTTCTTTTTTTTTTTCCCCCTCTCTATTAACAATAGAGAAAGGAGAGTCAAATCACAGCAAACTAGTCAAAGAGATTGTGGAAGCTCTGTAACCAACTGTTTGCCTTTGCAAGATATTGGTTATTCAGAAAGCACTCCTTTCTGCTGCTTTCTTCCCCCCACATATTCCGCCCTAGCCCTCTCTCACAGACACGTGTGCGCGCGCACACACACGCACACACACTTTCCACTATGCCAAGGAACTGCTGCAAGGCAAATTCTCACAAACACTAATGGCTTCTGACTGCTCCTTGGCAACCCCAGCATTTTAACCTGGGTGGATATGCTCTCCAAAATACAGACACTGGAGCTATCTCATCAGCTGTTCATGTGACACAGATGGAGAGTGGCTATTAGGAGCCAGGCAATGGGCCTTGGGGATCTGAGGTGCTGTACTGTAGCCTCGGGCAATTTTGAAAAGCAGTACCCGGAGATGGGGGGAAAAAATCCCTACTGAAAGTGCAAGTTTGAAGTCAGTCAGTCTGTTTGTCTATCTGTCGTGCGGATAAAGATATCTTTGTCTCTTTATGTAAAAGTAATGTGTGTATGCACAGGATGTGTGGAGCTGTAAAACTTCTGCTCTGCACCATCCTTTCAAACCACAGAAACACCAGTTCACTCCCTGTATGGACAAATTCCTGTCTGTCTGCATTTACTCTCCTATTTGTGAGCATCCTCAGCAGGAATCTCCCGCACGCTATATCGGTGTTTGGATTTTTTGATGAGGTTATTAATATCCTGGTTTAAAAAAGCTAATGGCAGTCCAAGAAAGAAAAGTTCAACTAAAGCTCTCGTTGCCTCCCCATCCTAATCAGCAGTTGGAATCGTAAGAGTCGGTGGTTCCCTAATCTGTTCCATAACCTCATGAAAGGAAATTCAAATATTCTAACTCCAAATGGTATCAGGAGAAAAATACAGCAAGATTTGTTCCTCCTGGTGTCCTGTTAATCTATACTGTCATATCTTTAAAAGGACTACAACTCGTATTAGTGGATGCAGTTCCTAGCAAGAAGAAATCATAGAAAAAGCCCATAACTGTCTTTTCCAAAATGGAATTATTTACTTCTGGTCCTAGTTTTCTTTATCCAAATAAATGTCAGTTATTTTAAATGAAGGAAAATAAATTATCAAAAGTGAAATAAAATGAACAGGCATGAAAGTCACTTTATGGCAGACTGGATTAACTATATTATTCACTACTGTATGAAGGAATCAAAATTTAAATAATTTAAATCATCATTACAAGAGATTCTGCTTATATTAACTATTCATATCCTGGTTTAGACGGTGATTTGTAAGAAGAGTAAAGTCAAATCCTAAGTTCTGTGAAAATGGCAATTATACAAGCATAGTTATCCCAATTTTCTAGAGAAGAAATTAGGGTTTGGATTTTGGTCCACTGTCTCTCTTATTCACCCAAAACCAAAAATTTAAGGGTAATTTTCTCCTGCTTTCCATACTGTTCACTCATTTATTCCTGTGCAAAGAGTACGCATGATTGTGAAACCCTATCAGTGCTGTAGGAAAGTGGAGAATTCTTAAGTGGCACTCTCTCTGTGGAGGTTTCGAGCCAGTAGAGAGTTAGGGATTTTACCCAGCTTGTTTAAGATTTTAGCGATGCTATGTAATAGTCTCAATAACCCCTATAAAAGATGGAGAGAGTTTACGAGAAACCTTGCAAAGGGACCCACCTGGTCCACCTTAAAGACCTTCTCTTCTAGGGGAAGAGTTTGTGGAGGATGCTGAAGATGAAAGTCTTCTTCACACAGTGGGAAGTTGGGCTTCCACACTGGTTCTGTGGTCAGGCACTCTTAGTACATGCTGAGGGCTTCCTTCCACAAGATAAATTCCTCTGCACTGAAAGCAAAGGAGACTACCTCTTCTTTAAAAATTATCAAATTATAAATTATTGCAGGGTTTCCATTGCACCATAATTCCAACTTGCTGCAAGCTGATTTCCTTGGACAGATAAGCTTGCAAAGCCCAGTATTGACATAGCCAAGGATTCTTTGAGAAACAGAGACCAGTCCTACATAAAGTCTGTCCAACTTTATTGTATCTATGAATTTTTCTTTGTTAGTCTCCCACACTATCCGTATTATCTCAATCCTAGTCTTTGTTTGTGTTCTTCACTGAGTAAAAACCCAGCAACAGATGAAGCAAGTTTAGAAGTTGCTCATCTTGTCTTTTTACCACTTGTGAACAAGATGAACAACAAATTCCCAGTTTATAAAAATGATAACTGAAAAGGATGACCCAGTCAGGCCAAAGCACAGAAGCCTGGTAACAGTCCAGATTCAAATTCTAGAAATAGTTCCTGTTACCATCATATCAAGTAGAGCAGTTAAAAAAGTGATTTCTGGAAAAGTACATTTCAGAACCCAGTGTTTGAGTTTCTTCACCATCAAAGGTCCCTTACAGCTTTAAGGTTTGTCACACGAAAGGAAAAGAGAGAACAGCAGGAGTATCTAAACTCGGGGAAAGACAAGACACTTCACCATTTTTCTAAAAATAGAGGATGCAATACGAAAAGCAAGTTAAAGGATTCTGAAAAGGAAAGCTGCAGTGCATTATGCTGATCTTAAGTAAGCTACTCTAATCTTCCAGTCTAATATTTTGATGGAGTGGAATATGTAGATATAAATGGAAAACAAAGAGGAAAATCTGCATGCAGACTATATTCACAATTTGCAATTATTTGTTTGTACTTACAATGTGTCCATCTAGATTCATAAATATTGCAAACCATTATTAATAAGGACATTCAGCTTAGTAATACAATCCATATCACCACCAGAGAAAAATCTTAAAAATCTGTTTAAATTATCACTACCAAGAAGCTGGAGAGAGAAGTGTCTGAAGATGTTTTTGAAGATAGTCTGTGCTGAAGGGAAGACTAACAGAAAGGGAAGGTCAGAATCAAGGACCCTTCAGGAGAATCCTTATCTTCATTCCATCCTGTTAAAATTATCAGGCTTTTAGCCTTACAGCGTCAGTAGATCACAGATCTTTGAATGAAGTCCTGGCTATGGATTGGTATTGGTTTTTTTCTCTTCCTCTTAATGATCCCTGTTCAAGGAAGTTGACTAAAGTCTCCTCACACCACAGGAGCCACTCTTACCTCCTGCGTTTCTAGCCCAGGGAAACTAAGATGGGTTAGGACTGGCAAATATGGGACTTTGAAAATCACAAACAGTTGAGGTGGGCAACCCAGCTCAGAGCTGTG